AAAAAAGAAAAAGAAGAAGAAGAAAAAAAAAAGTATTGCTTTTAAAGGAAGTCAAGTAAATGTCCAATTAAGTAGGCATTGTCTAACCGAAGACATAACTTATTCACTGTCATAGAGGTGATGCCGACCACAGTGATCCTCCCTGGGGGTTTCTGAGACTGGAAATGTTTACAGGAGTAGAAAGTTCCGTCTATCTCCCATCGAGTTGCTAGTGGTTTAGAACGTTCACCCATTCAGGTTGTAGGCCAACATGTAACTACTACATCACCGGGGTTTCTTCATAGGAGACACACAAGAATTGCAAGGATTTTAAAATGACAGTGCACCTTTGCAAATTCTGTAGGTGAGTGCTATGTACACGTGAGCACGTGGAGAATCCAATGAGAGTGTGGACAGGACTACTTGGGAAGGGAAAGCAGCAAAGGGAAAGACGTGGGTGCACAGACTGCGCTGACGGGATGCCCACGGCTGGAGCCTGGCAGAGGCTCTGTTGAGCTATTTCAACCTTCAATCACCATTTATTCTTTTAGTGGGAGTTTTTATTAGCAAAAACATTTCTGCTGCCCTAACTTATTTTCTAGTGTACTAAGAAATGAAGTTCCCATTTGCATTTTTAATTTTAACTCTATTTTTTTCCTAACTCTAACTCTAAGGCCTAAGCCCTAAGCCCTAAGCCCTAGCCCTAGCCCCAGCCTTAACCCGATAAATTTTGAGTTCAGTACTTACCAGGTGACAAAGGCGAAGTTCAGTCCGATAACAGTCAGGCTGACTGCATAATGCCAGCAAAAGCATATGGTGAGGAACATCATGTTGTTGTGATCCGTGGATTCCCAGGCAGGGCCACCATTGAGGGGATACAGCACAAAACCAATCTGCAATTTTATTTTTTAAAACACACATTAGAATCACTGCATTTTCAAAGGCAATTCACCTCAAAGAACTGGTTTACAAGATTAATGGCATGTTACTCCCCATTTTCTGAACTGCCACAGATAAAATTTTGGTAAAATATCAGGTGTTGTACTTGTTTTAGTAATATGGTTAGCTTAAACCAGGTTATATTTTTTAAGAAAGGAAGATTTAAAAGAATATTTCAAATCAATGTTCAAGATATGAATAATAATTATCTTTGAGGATGCATGGATTTTCAGAGAATGGCCTAGGTTTCTAAGAAATATGGTTACTATCTATAATTTCTAAATTAGGACATAAAAAGATTCATAATAAACAAATGCCCACACTTAACATTATACTCCAGGGTGAAAGACTGAAGCTTTCTCTTTTAAATCGGAAGCAAAAATGGATACCTACTTTTATTACTTCTAATCAACATTGTACTGGAAGATCTACCCAGGGTAATGAGAAAAAGAGGGGGAAAAACATATATGATAATAAACAAGTTTAGCAAAGTTGCAGAATAAAACCTACATACCAAAATCAGTTGTATTTCTATGTACAATGAAACAATGAAAGATCTGAAGATAAGTGAGATAAACAATTCCATTTACAATAGTATCAAGAAGCTTAAAATATTTAAGACAAAATTAACCTAGAAGGTATAAGACTTGTACACTGAAACATTACTCTGATATTTTAAGTTGGCAATACTCTTCAAGACTGTGTACAGATTGAAGGCAATCGCTATCAAAATCCCAGTGTTCTCTTCTATAGACAGTCCATACGAGGTTTATATGGACTTACAAGGGAACCCAACTCATTTTGGAAAAATATTTTCAAAGTTCCTAATGTCAAAAGCACAAAGCTACAATAATTACAACAGTGTGGTACTAGCACAATCATCAGTGACACACAGAATAATGTAATGAAGCTGATCAACTAGAATCTTGATTAACTTTGTTTCAAAAGGGTGCTAGGACTAGTCAACGGTGGAAGTAGGTTATCTTCAACAAATAGCTCTAGTACAATTGGGTAGTCACAGGGAAAACAATGAAGTTTTACCCATATCTTACATCCTATGTAAAAATTAACTCAATAGACTAGAGACTTAAAAGTAAGAAGTAAAACTATGAAATTCTTAGCAAAAAATATAAGAGTAAACCTTCATGGCCTGGGATTTGTCGGTGAATTCTTAGATGTGATGTCAAAAACACACCACACAAAAGAAACCCAAAACTAGATAATTTGAGCTCCACAAACATTTTAAATAGTTTGTGAGCCAGTGGATATTATCAGAAGTAAAAAGACAACTTAATCAGAGAAATTATTGGTAAGTCATATATCTGACAGGAGTCTAGTACCCGGACTACATAAAAAAACTCAAACAACTCACAACAAAAAGGCAGATAAACTCATTGAAAATGGGCAAAGGACTAATGGCTAGCAGCCACATGAAACCATATGCAACATCACTAGTCATTGGAAAACTACAGGTGAGATCCAATACGAGATGCCACGTTCTACCCACCAGGAGGGCCAGAATCAGAAAAACAAAATAGCAAGCATCTGTGAGGATGCAGAGAACCAGGAACCTACAACCTTGCTGGTGGAACTATAAAATAGTGCAGCAACTGTGGAAAATGGTTTACAATCTGCTGCCCGTA